TGAGAAAACTGGGCTTCAGAGTTTAGTCTGATCGGTCTTATGGCTACTGTTTCTGCAGGGATTCAAGCTCAGGGCTGGGGCATCCTGAAGCCCACACTCGCACTGTCTTTCCTCGCTTCCAAGCGCCCCCTCTACCTGTGGTAGCTACTGGAAAGAACTGCAGATGTGCAGAGAGGCACTAGAAGAGGGAGGGGACTGGAGGAGGCCGAGGCCACCTAATCAGCAAATATGGACAGTGGGTCCCTCATTCTTGGTACCTAAGCTAAACCTTATTCGGTACTTTTCTCCCAGTCTCCTTTCTCCCATTTGTGATTTGCCATCCCCTTTCTTCCCTGGGAAAGGAAGCGTGTACTCGGTTGACAGCCCTGGATTTCAAAATTGCCGACTTAAGGAGAGTTCATTGAGGAACTGCTAATGGCTGTGGCCATTTAGCCCAGAATGCAATTATAACCACTTAGCTGGATGTACCTTTGTGTGCCTGCTGTTTCCTTTAAGGCTGTAAACAGCACCTGGAAGGGCCGGGGACAAACAATGGTTTGGAAGAAAGGCTTCATTCAACATTCCTGTTGAGTTTGTATTGAATTATCCAAATAGACCTTATTTCATATGCAGTTCTAGTGATCAAACCTTGCTATTATTTTCTTCTCAGATCTGCCATCATGACTAGGAACTTGTATTCATGTGGTGGTAAACTGCACAGCAGACTGGGCTTCCTTCTCTGTCTGGACAGGTGGGCGGGGAAATACCCCTTCTCTTATGGGTGGGAAATTATGTAATGTAATTATAAGACTACTTCCTGGCAGCAAAACACCTGCCTGTTTCCTGCCCAAGAGCCTTTAAGAGAGAAAAAACCAGGGTGGAGTGTTTGCAGAAGATGGCTTTGCTGCCATACTCTCCTAAGAACTATGAGGCCAGAGTAACTGCCAGCCTTATGATATGATATAGTATGGAATGGTGGAGAGTTAGCCCAGCCAACTGTAGTCAGACCTGGATCAGGCCCCAGGAGCTCTTCCCCCTCCCTCCAAACCTGGCATCTTGGGGTTTTCACAGGCCCAGCTACAGGTGGCGAGGAAGAGAGGCGGTGCCGCAATGGGCAGGTGCCTGCCCCAGCTTACTGTTACCTGCAGCTTCTGGCCTCTGGAGGCTGGACTGCTGCTGGGCATTCCCTAAACAGACTGCAGACCCAGCTGGGTGGGGCCATGGGTGTCACAGAGAGATTCTGTCCCAAAAAAGTGGAGCAGTGTTGGGGAACTGTATCTCTAACCTCCTGCAGGTGTTAGAGCCTGGGAATAACCTGCTGACTCCTCACCACAGCTGGGAAGAGGCCAACAGCCCTTTTCAGGGTCTGACAGCAGCTCATTCACACCAAAGGGCTTGCACCTTCACATCTTCTAACTTGGGAAAGGAATGCTTTCAGTCAAAGGCACTTCTGAGAAGGGGTTTTACTTTGACTTGGGACAGGGTAGTATCGGAGGGCTGCTTCTTTCCCCTGATGTCAAAGACTGACCCACATATAGACAGGGTGTCCCCCTTAAAGATGCCAGGGTGGAAGGAGGAGGATCAAAAGCGAGGTGCCTGGGTTGTCTGATTACCTCCCCTTCTTCCTTTAAAATGAACTCTCATCCATGGCTGGTGAAGCTCAGACATGGGACCCAGAGCCACTTCCCATGGGACTTCGCACAGGGTGCCTGCTACCTCTTTCTTCTGGGTGCCCTATGACCTTCCCTCTTGGGGCAGGCAGCCATGTCCTCCTGTCTCCACTCAGACCCTCCAGGTACCAGGCTGGAGTCAGGAAGTGTGTGCTCCAGGCAGTCCCAGGAAGGGCAGGGCAAGCCGTACAGAGGAGGCTCTGGTAAAGGCTGGCGGGACAGGCAGCCAGCCTTTGGCTTTTTAGAAAAGTGTGAGGATGATAGTTAAATGGTACATCATAAATGACGTAACAGCTCTGGAAGACTTTGTAAACCTCTTTAGAAATGTGAAGTCTTTTCATTTTACCACTGTGGTACACTGTTAACTGATGCTAATTAGAGATTCCATGGACCAATGAAGTGAGGAAAGAAAAAGCAAAACATTACTTAGGCTGAGATTCATTCTAGTTCTAGCCGTTAATGTAAGCTGCTCCCTATTTATGCCTAATTACCATGAATTAGGACAATGATGAGACAGATTGGTTGATTTGGGATTGATTAATCTAAGTTTATTTCATCACGACTCCTAGTTCTAAACGTGTGCTCAGGCTGCTGGGGTTGTAGTTTGTGTTGCTTTGTGCCTCGGGACTCGGTTTTCTCATACTTTCTAACAACTGGCAGGGACTTTGGCCTTGAGCCTGAGTGGATGGAACCCTATACAGTTTGCTTCGGGGATACAGGAACCTGAGACCTGACGGGGGACTCAGAGCCATGAGCATGATTGGAATTATTTTTATCTGGGTTCCAATTCAGCAAAGACGTTGTCTGACCTGGAGTTGGGGATGGAGAAGGGATGGATTTGAGGGGTATCTGTGAGGTGATTTGTTAATGTATGTGTGAGGGAATTGGAAGCGTTAAATGGCTCTCAAGTTTCGAGCTGGGGTCCTTGAGTGGATAGTCTCACCATAAATCGAGGCAAAAGTACCAAAGAGGTGAAGATGCCAAGTTCAGTTTTGGACCCACTGAGGTTGAGTGCCTGTAGGGTATCTAGTGAAGATGTCCATCAAACAATTGGATGTTCACTCCGGAAGCTTGGGTGAGAGGTGAGGGCTAGAGATAAATGTGTTGGCAATGTACATGTGGAAGTTGAAATCCAGAGACCCAGGAAGAGTACGTGTGAAAAGAGCATTGAGCTGAGGACAGGACCCTGGGGGAAACTCTCAGAAGAGAGAATAAGATGTGGCCGGAGAGGACACGGATTTTACTGAACAGCTCACTGTTCACGTGGTGTCATTCTTTAAGGGAGAGTGATTCAAGTGAAGGTGAATGAAGGTATGTCATTCCCAGCAGAGCTTTTTAATTGCTTTACACAATCTTCAAAAATAAATCAGGTTCAAATTTCTTGCTAATTCTCTCTAAGAAAATTGGTATACATTCTCATTTAAGATTTATTGAGATGTGTTAGGAAATTGCATCTGAGCTCCTCTGACCTTACCAGTTTCCTTATTTGGAACTCCTTGAAACAGCCCCGGGAGCTCGGCCAGCCTTCTTGTCCTCCAGCCTTGGGGTGATATTCCCTGGATCCCGTCTTCCTGCTGCTCCTCAAATAAGCACATCTATGCCCTCTCCTTTGTTAGCCTGCTTTTAGTTAATAAAGTAATATGATCGTTTTTTAAGTTCAAATAATACAAACAGATATTCAGTGATAAGTAAATCCCCTTCCTACCCAGGACCCTAATCTTCAGCCCTTTCTCCCCTGCCCTGCAAAGCAACTTCTGTTCCCAGTGTCATGTCTGTACAACATCCTTCTGGAAATACCGGCCCATGGGCCAGATCCAGCCAGTGTTCTGTTTTTGTAAATAAAGTTTCGTTGGAACACAGCCATGCCCACCCACTTGTACATTATCCTGTGGCTGATTCCCACTACATTGTTGAATAGTTGTGACAGAGAAAGAAAAGTTTTGCCAACATGTGCTTTTTATGTGTGGACACTTTTGTGTATAGTCTTTTTTGACATATCTGTGAGCACACTATACACAGTTCTGCATTTTGCTTATTTCTATTTCACAATAAATTGTGAAGATCATTCCCTATGGGCACATGCAGATTTGTCTTAGGCTTTTTCACAGTGTGGATGTAATTAATCAATCCCCTGATGAAGAATGTTTTTACTCTTTTCAGTCTTTAGCCTGAACAAATAACACTACAGGGAACCTTCTTGTGCACATACCTTCTCTGCACACACGTGAGCCCTTTTGGATAGGTACACTTAAATCTGACAGATATGGCCTAACTGCCCCCGAGGTAGTTTTTACCCCACACTCAACCTCAATGAGAGTCACATTCTTTTCATTTTAAGGGCTAAATTGCTAACCCCTGTGAGGAAAAGGAGCTAATAAAGTAAAAAACGAAGAAATGTGCCGGTTTACCAAATTTGTATAATCTGTACAAAATTTTACAGTCTCTATTACCTGCTATTGCTCATTTGAGTGTCTGCCACTGCTCTTATTTCTGAAGGAGGGTGTCTTAGTCCATGCAGACTGCTGTTAACAAAATGCCACAGACAGGGCGGCTAGTAAACAACAGAAATTTATTTCTCACTATTCTGAAGGCTGGAAGTCTGAGATCAGTATAATGAGATTCTGGGGAAGGCTCTCTACCAGGTGCACACTGCTCATATCTTGCTGCTTCCTCACACTGGTGGGAAGGACAAGAGAGCTCTCTGAGGTCTCTTCTTATAAGGGTACTGATCTCATCTATGAGGGCTCCACCCCCATGACCTAGTCACCACCCAAAGGCCCCACCTCCCACTACCATCACACTGGAGATTTGGTGTCAACGTATGAATCTTAGGGGGACACAAACATTCAGTCTACAGCAATGAGATTCACTGGGCTTCCTCATCTGACTTCAGACATAGATCTAATCAGGCTCCGAAGGTAGAATCAAGATGGATATTCCTTTTCATCTCAGGTAGGCTATTTGCATCTCTAAGGCCCTCTTAATGCCATCCATTTCTCTAGACCTTTGCCCAAACCAGAATACTGCCTCCCCAAATGTGCTAAACCGAAATACAAACAGTATAAGATACTTAGTACCTGTCTTTTAGAAGTTTACATTATTTTCCATTCTATTTGGTAACCAACGTCTCTCAGAATTAGGTATAGTTAACACAGATTGCCACAAAATACCTCCATTCTACACAGTTCCATTTCCTTATTTCTGGATTCTCTCAAGGATGAGAACCTTGCTTTAGTCATCTTTGGGCCCAGCATTCTACCTGACATGTGATAGGTGCCCAGTGGACTTTGGCTGAACTGAACTAATTTTCTCTTAATGCTTCAACTGAATTATTCCTTTTGCCTCTTACAGAATGAAGATATTCAGATGTTGTTTTAAATACACCCTACAGCAGAAAGTTTTCATCCTGTTTTTAACCCTGTGGCTGCTCTCCCTGGTGAAGCTTCTAAACATAGGAAGACTCCTCTTCCCTCAAAAAGACATTTACTTGGTTGAGTACTCCCTAAGTACCTCCCCCTTTGTAAGGAACAGATACACTCATGTTAAGGATGAAGTCACATATGAAGTTAACTGTTTGAGAGTCTATGAACAGGAGCCTTTGGAAATTGGCAAGACTCTGGAAATAAGAAGAAGAGACATCATCGACTTGGATGATGATGATGTTGTGGCAATGACCAGTGATTGTGACATTTATCAGACCCTAAGAAGGTATCCTCAAAAGCTTGTTTCACAGGAAGAGAAAAGCTTCCCAATAGCCTATTCTTTGGTTGTTCACAAAGATGCAATTATGGTTGAAAGGCTAATTCATGCTATATATAACCAGCACAATATTTACTGCATCCATTATGACCATAAGTCACCCGACACCTTCAAAGTTGCCATGAACAATTTAGCTAAGTGCTTCTCCAATATTTTCATTGCTTCCAAAGTAGAGACTGTGCAATATGCCCACATTTCCAGACTCCAAGCTGATTTAAATTGCTTGTCAGACCTTCTCAAGTCTTCAGTCCAATGGAAGTATGTTATCAACCTGTGTGGGCAAGACTTTCCTTTGAAGTCAAACTTTGAATTAGTGTTAGAGCTGAAGAAACTCAATGGAGCAAATATGTTAGAGACAGTGAAACCCCCTAACAGTAAAATGGAAAGATTCACTTATCGCCATGAACTCAGACAGGTGCCTTATGAATATATGAAGCTACCAATAAAGACAAACATCTCCAAAGAAGCCCCACCTCATAACATTGAGATATTTGTTGGCAGTGCTTATTTTGTTTTAAGTCGAGCATTTGTTAAATATGTTTTCAACAACTCCCTTGTTAAAGACTTTTTTGCCTGGTCTGAAGATACATACTCGCCTGATGAGCATTTCTGGGCTACCTTAATTCGGGTACCAGGAATACCTGGGGAGATTTCTAGATCAGCCCAGGATGTGTCTGACCTGCAGAGTAAGACCCGCCTTGTCAAGTGGAGTTATTATGAAGGCCTTTTCTATCCCAGTTGTACTGGCTCTCACCTCCGAAGTGTGTGTATCTATGGAGCAGCAGAATTAAGGTGGCTTCTACAAGATGGACATTGGTTTGCTAATAAATTTGATTCTAAGGTGGATCCTGTCTTGATTAAATGCTTGGCAGAAAAGCTTGAAGAACAACAGAGAGAGTGGATCACATTATCTTCAGGAAAGTTATTTATGGATGAAAATCTCACAGTCACATCATGATAAAATCATGATGGGAATAAGGTGACAAACGGAGTTAATGTGGAGTCGTGTGCTATACCATGTCCAGCGCCATCTGAGCTTCACCTTCTCATGTTTGAAAGGTGTCTAAAATTCCACATGTAGGAAAAAGTGACCCAGCCTTTGGTGACAGCCTGCATTTGGTTGGGTACTTCTGTTTGTTTTTGCCTGTAATCTCACTGAGCTAAATCAGAGAACTTAAACAGTCATCGGTTATTTATTGAGCTCCTATTGTATGCCAGGCACTTCTTTAGAGATGTGTAGCAATTAAATCCAAGTTTTAATGAGCTATACAATGCCTCAAGGGACCATACTCATACGGCAACCTCAATATCTTCTGCACATAACAATCAGGATCCTACTGAAGAAGGTTTGGAGTGTGTGGTAATCACCCATATAAACCACCCATTTCAGAATAGCATTGAAGTACAGTGACCAACACTCCACTTGTCTTTTAATTCAACTCCCTTGATTTTCTCTAACCATTAGAATATTAGAAGGAGAGACTCCACTACCTCAGAAGAGTTCAAAGTTCGATTTCCTCCCTGCCAAAGCATAATTTACCTTCTGGTGCCTCATTCATTCAGTTCAGGGTCGGCAGACTCTGTGAGTGGGGCATTCATAATGTCTGAATGTTAGGGAAGCAGTGGGAATGTCTAGAGGGATTGGGATAGGTGGTGCCTGAAGAGGAACAAAAGGATTTGTATAATTTTTGCATCATGTTACACAATGTGTCATGATGGCCTCCTTTTTAATTCACCTGTTTCTTTAAAACACATTTACTGATTAAAAATGAGAACTGGTTATACTCCAGAACATGGAAGTTAAGTCTTCCAGTTCATAGATTATCATTATATGTAAGTTTCTTTACAATGGAATTAGTATAATTTTGTTTTATGGAACTACCAAGCTAAGAGTCACTGAATTTTCTTGAAAAGGTTATGTGAAATATGACAGCTTTATAAATTAATTATTATGGTCATTTAAAAAAAATTTCTTCTCCAGCAACTGTCCAAGTGGAACCCAAACTTAAAATTATGAAACTCTACATTCATTGCAGTCTTCTTCTCAGCTTAGATCCAGAGAGAAGAAGCTAATTTTCCTAAGGACATAGCAAGAATATTGATGAAAGATGTTTTGTAAAACCTACACCTTATAAAACTACCAAATGAGTCAAATATACACAGATTTTAATGTAACTATGTTGGGTTGGAGATGAAATGGGGCAGGAGCAGGGTTCTGAGAACAGACTATAACATTATTATGTTTCTTAGGAAATCGTGGAACTCATGTAAAAATTTCTTGGTGATCTTATGTTTCAATGTCAGCCTCAGGAACTATGTAAAGGTGCAGTAATCAAGGCCAGTGTGAGACTATTTGGAAGACTGAAGTATTTAAGTATTTTTTTAAATGTCTGTGTTCTAAACGTCTAGGAAACGAACTCAGCTTGTTTTAACGTTTGTGATGCTAACTGCCAAGCAGCACCACCTCGCTCTTCTCCTGAGCTCCGTTTTCTTCCTTTCTTTTCCCTGCCCGCTTCAAATGACTTCATTTTTCAGAAAACAGCTATTATCAAGTCCCTGTTCTTAAAAAAGAAGTGACTATTCGAGCTGAGTTCTACAGAACATCCTCACCAGTTCATTAGTGTGTATGACCGTGACAAGCTGTCACTTTGGTCTATGAGCCTATTACTGGTCTTTGAAACGAGTACTTGGTTGTCTATCCTGGCTTCCTCGCAAGTTTATTGTGAGACTCAATTGAAATAGTATATGAAAAAGGCAACAAACTGTTGAAATGTTAGAGAGCAACGTTACTGTAGATCCAACTCCGTTGTGAGACTTAACCATTTATCTTTTCTGAAAAACCTTCAAAAGATTTTAAAAAGCTACAAATGCAGGGGCAACTTCTGTAACCGAATCCAGGTCTGAAGAAACTCCCGTCACCACGTCTCGGGGTTATTTCTAAACTATCAAGATTAAGAATTTAGTCCCGTGACTTAGAGCGGGAATAGGGGTTGAAGTACTTTTCCTGTCATCCAGGCTTAAACATGCAAGGTGAAGTCTTGGTGTTTAGCCTTTGGTTGTCAGAGTAAATGCAAAGGCTGAAAAATAAATGTCAGCCTCTTGTTCCTGTGTCTTGCTTCCTGGTGAGAAATGATTCTACCTCTTGTTTCCTGAGAAATTTCTCAGTTGTTAATCAGTTTAACGCCATGTCCAAATGAAACATGGAACCATGAAGAGGCGGCAGTGCTTTCTTTTCTCCATTAACAAACACATGTCTCAGGATTCAATTCCTAACTTTCCAGGGAGCTGGTCAGAACACGCTTTTGCCTTGAGAATCCTGCAGATTCCCTGCATGCCTTTCAAACTGATCCTCCCCTAAAACTTTTGGTATGATTACCTCTGGTCTGGAGAATGTTCTGCAGTCTGTGTTTCATAATTATTTTCTGCATAGTATGTATCGAATCTAGACTCTTAAGTTATTTGGCGATGAGCCCAGGACCTTGGTATTTGCGAATTGTATTAGATAATATTAATAATGAAAGAGCTACCAATTCTATATATAATGTGTGTGTGTATATGTGTATATATATACATAAATATACACACACATATTATCTGAACAAACTGCTGTAATATTATAATACAGTGTTGCTGCTGTTCTTAATATTTTGGTTTTTTTTAAGTGAAATATATATAAATATTTAAATTTGTAGAGTTAAATCTGAAAATTTCTCTTGCTTTCCAGAGTGTGAATGTTTTATATATAGGCTATGAAATGACAGTCTTCTCTGGGGATGTAAAGTGAATGTTACCCTATGATCGTTATAACTGTTTTCCTTATTGATGATGATGGAATGAGAGTTTTGATTTTTTAAAATTTTCTTATCAACTGGTCTCTAAGTCTCCTGCTGTGTATGTGTGTGTGTTTTATCATTTTCAAAAGACAATTTCCCATTATATAAGTTTTAGATAGATTGATATTGCATTTTTATGTTTGCTGCTACTAGATGTTAATTCTCCACTACTGTAAAATAAAATATGCTCCAAAAACCAAACTCCTGAAATTTATGATGTTTCTTTTCTCTGGTTGTGTCGGTTCCCCACGAAGACTCTTTCTGTTTATGACACTTGCCCAGTATTTGAAGAGCACAGTTAATTTCACTTCCGAGCAAAAGAAATTCGGTGTATTTACTATTCACAGAATATAGGCACACGAACATGAGTTGTTTAATTTGGCAAAGTCTCAAAGAATCTTCTAGGATTTCCCTGCCTTCATTCTCCTTCAGGTTGGTCTCTCCTCTAAGATTAATTATCTAGATAAATATTCTTGTTTGCTTGATTACATTACGGAAGTTCGTTTTTAATAGCGTAGGCTGAGCTATCCTCGATCCTTGGAAAACCCAGCCTCCGTCTCCCCACACCAGGACACCTGCCTTGGTTGTGAGCCCTGTGGACACAAGGACCCTGACTCCACCCATGTCTTCAGACTCGGTTGGTGGGTAATACCTGAAGAGCTGCCCTCTGTCCTGGAAAACATCACCTTTCCCAGCTCTACCACGCTGGTGAATATTTGGCATCGCTGATCCCCACACTACCACTCTGAAAAATCCCCTGGTCAGTTTTCTCCTTTCATCCTTTCTAAAGCCATGACAGCCACCAGCCTCCCTGGCTGGCAAGATCAAGGAGTAAGGCATTTTAGGAATCTTCAACATAAAAAAAATTAACATCTGCTCTTAATCTAAGGTTAGTTCTAGCTCTTACCAAGCTGGACAACCAAGCACATCCACAATGATCTCATGGAAGAATATGGACTTTTTTTGGTAGTGGCATTGGTAGGGCGGGTTGGTATGCAGCATGATATTAAAGACTCAGACTTGATTCCTGGATAAGCAGTTTCATATCTTTTTATTCCTTTCGATGTCTATAAAGATACATCTAAACTGGGACTACTGGCTTCTAGATTCATGAAACTGATTATGAAGAAACCCTGGCAAGAGAGAGTCAGTCGGTGATTGCAAATGTGTTCCTACTACTGAAAAAAATGTTCCTATGATGATGCATGACAAACAGCTTAAGCTTTGCTTCAGAGACAGGTGATCAGTGTGTCAACTTAGGCGGCTGTTTAAAAATCGCAGGAAGACTATTCACCTGACCTCAGGTATGGCCTTCACATGGAGCAGCACCATCCTTTCTAGGAACACTTTGGCACTGAATCATACAGAAGACAAATAGAAAAGAATCTGAAGGAAAATCATGGTCGATGACTTGGGTAAATTTATTACTTTTTTGTTGCTGCTATTGTTTGTTTCTTATAGAACAATAAAGACAATTTAAACAGAAACAATGTGTATTCATAATTCTAACATCCTGATGAAACCATTCCTGTGTTGCTACATGATCTTTATGGCTATCTAATGGTCATACCATAATTCACTCAGCCTTTCCTTTACTGTGGAACATTTGGATTGTAAGCTACATTTTTTTTTGGCTGTCATAAATAACAATGTTGTGAAAAGTTTTATCCACAAAGTTTCTCCTTTCCTGGAATCACTTCCTTATGATGCATTTCCAAGAGAGGGATCCTGAAGAGAACGGATTTTTAATTTTACCATTACTATTTTTTTTACTGATTGCTTTTCATATATGTTACAAATCACTCACTCAAAGAATTATGTAGGACACTTGGTGTAAATCAACCACAGTCTCAACCTATGTGAAATAAATTGTATTTATTTATTCTGATAAATGGCCTTTCTGATGTAGCCATTCTTCTAACAGATCAAAGGTGTTTTAATGTATGTTTGTGAAGAGCTCTTTCGGAATATTCCGAAAGGTTTAACTTTGATGACTGACTTCATTCCAGGAAGGATCTAAAGTTCCTTCTAGTATCCATTCTCCCTGGCTTCTGTGGTTTTATTTTGAGGAGCAATATGACCAACTATTAATTCCCAGCCTTGCTTTCAGCTAGGGGTGGCAAAAGAGAAAAAGCAGAAGTCATTGGGTGGGGCATCTGAGGATGCACTCAAAAGGTGGCTTACCTAGCTTGACTTCCACCCACCTTCCTCTCTCCTGCTGCCTGGAATGTGTTTGTAATAGCCTGAATTTCAGCAACTATTTTAAAGCCATGAGGATGCAAGTTATATGGCAAGGATAGAATAAAAATATGACAGCTGAATCATCCAAAACCACTTGCCTCCAGTCTTTTATGGGAGAAAAAAACCTGACATACACTTTACTGTTATCTCAGTTCTGTTACTAAGAGTGGAACACGATCCCTAACTTTTACAATGTTTTTTTAGAACAATGGCTTTCAAACTTTAGTTTGCATCAGAATCAGCTAGAGGGCTTGTTAAACACACAGATTGTTCCCTCTATCCCCCACTTTCTTATGTTTGGTGGAGGAGCAGGAAAATTTGCATCTCTAACAAGTTCCCAGGTGAGGCCTATGCTGTTCAATGTTAAATTATTTCTTTAACATTGTAAACATTAAGCCAAGTTAGCATTTGGAAAGCAACAAATATTGCAATAAGTGTACATACCTTCAGATGGTAAAATGCTGTGATGAGAAGTTCAGAAATATTTTAGATGCTCTGCCCTATATGCTCTCTCTATACTGTTGGCTATCGATATTTTCTAAAGTGACTAAAGTTGATACATTTCCATAACTACAAGTCCCCCTAAAATTATTTTCAACCAAATTGCTGCCTTATTTGGAACTATTTTATAAAATGTAATAAAATAAATGAATTTGGAGAGTACAGTTAACCTGAAATTACAGTGATGAAGTCTCAAATTCAGACCTATGTGTTAATTCTACTGAACGAAATATATGCTGGTGAGACAGACTCTACCCAGACAGAATTTTTCATGAGTATTTCAATGTGACAGTCCTAAAAAATTTTTAAACATTGAAATGAAACACAGCCATATCATCCTAACTCTTCACTATTTCAAGCCATT